TTTAACTGAGACGTAAAAGTTAGAGGAAGTTTAGTCTTGGACAGTTCGGCGCTGCTACGATTCAGCTCGCTTCTACGGTTCGTGTAATTGAAGATGATTAAAGCTGAAGTGGGTATTAGCATCAAACGAAAGGGAATTTAACTCAGAATTGAAGATGATTAAAGCTGAAGTGGGAATTAGCATCAAACGAAAGGGAATTCAGAGGAGGCGGGATTTAACTCAATGTGACCAGGCACATGTTTAATTTCTGGAAAAAAATGGAAATGGAAAAAATGAAATGATCAGGAATTAATCTTAGATTAATCAATATTTATCCTTATTTACCTTCTCTTACGTTTTTATATTTGGAAAGAATGAAAAAAGATTAAATCAATGTTTATATGGGAATTAACTTTTTTTTTAACAATTTTCTTTTTTAATTTTGAGGAGCAGTTTGGTCATTAAAAACTGGGCTCAGGCTTTACTGAAACTGATTCAATTACAGTTTCCTCTTATCCAGTGTTCAAACCTGTGGCTCTTATTCCAAGTTAATCTGAGCCTGTGGGGAAGATTAACCAAAAAAAAAAAAGGACTTGACGATGTGGTTTGTTTCAATTATACCAGTCTTTGTCACTTCACTGACTGTACTCATGCCCTAATACTGTTAGACGTATGAAAAATAAATGGAATGGTGACTATGATTGGACACTGTGTGTGATTGACAGCTGGACTGAGGCACGGCATCATCTGTAACCATCATCAAACTGTTAATAACAATGATCTGTTTCCTCCCAACTATTTTGTCCAATCTTCCTTTTTGATAGCTTGTCATCTACTTTAACAAGATACAACATGGCTGCCATCCAACACTTCAGCTCAGCTAATTCATAATAGCAGTTTGAGTCGGACCAACAACTACCGTTAAGATGAAGACGGAGTTACAATTTCTGGGGTTTTGCCACAAGATCAGATCAGAGATTATCTGCAACCAAACTATTCGGTTTAGCTCCATGTTCCTTTAACCACTCTTTGTGGTTACATGTGTCAAACTCAAGGCCTGTGGGCCAAATCTGGCCCATCACAGAATGTATGCAGCACAGAGCTTCATGTGTATGGTCCTCTTAAGACAATACTTCTCAAATAGTGGGCAGGCCTCCCTAGGGGGCGCTAACCACTTCCTCGTTCTACGTACTACTCACATGTGTGCGTATGCGTGAATCCAAACATCGTATGAGAAACGAAACAAAATGAGCTCGCAAATAGGGTTCGTAGTCCTATTTGTTCCTTAATAGTGACGTCCGTGACCCGAGGTATCACTGTGTGTATCAATACGCCACATTCTTGCCAATACATCCTGTTCGACCCACAACTTAGACCAGGCATGGGCAAACTAAGGCCCGGGGGCCGGATGTGGCTCGTTACGCTTTTTAATCTGGCCCGCCAAACTTTTCTAAATTAATTAATTTGTTTATTTATATACTTCTGCCTTTTCCCTGCAATACCCATGTTGCACCAATAGATGGCATAGGAAATGATAAAAGCATTTTAGCCTTTATCTTAGTTCACTTGAACTCTCCATCTCTCTGCCCCTGACTCCGCCCCCTTTTCAATTTTAGAACAATTGTGGCCCACGAGTCAAAATGTTTGCCCACACCTGACTTAGACTCTAGGTTTTAAATTCCTGACCCCTTAACGAATCAGGCAATTAAAGGTGAATAATAATAAAGAAATGTTAATTGACTCATAGTTTACACTAACGCTGAGACTAAACTTTAAGGAGGATTTTTAAGTTTTATTAGATTATGGATGAAAGACTCCGTCCACCCGTCCTCTGCCTGGAGCTAACGCTCCACTACCGTCCCCCTTTTTTTTGTGTACGACTGCCCCCCCCCCGATTCTCCTCCTTATTTAAAAGCCTCTGTGCCCTCAGGTGAACTCCTCGTCATTTCCTCCACAAAAGCCCCAGAACCCAGAACCTGGTACGAGACTCTCAGCGGTTTAGCCGTGCCGACCGTAGAGCAGCACAAGACATAGCCACCCATGTGAAAACTCTCGAGCCTTTGTTGTGACCGCAGGATCTGTCGGATGGACACAGTGAATAACACCACGCTACATTCTCACCGGTTTGGTGCAAAAAGATGCACTTTTCCCTTCAACAGAGATCTCCGGTTCTTTCTTTACTCAATTAACCCCGCGGCCTTCATTTCCATTTCATAAAGAGGTCGTCACTCTGTGGGAGGGTTATCGGCTTTATGGAGGCAGAAAGAAAGATGAAAGGGGGCGGGGGTGCGTATATATATATATTTTTTTTTAATCCTGTGTGAAAGATAACGGCCCTGCTCCTGCCTTATCAGCGGCTGATAAAATACTCAAACTACAGAGGCAGCGGTGTCTCCGCTCACTGTGTGTGTGAAATGGAAAGCACCAGAGTTTGACTATCAGTTGTTTTGGTGATTTTTTTTTTTTTTTTTCAAAATTGATCCACCGCATTAGTGGGTTAGTAACATTGTTTACATTTGTGTCTAAAACTTTACATATTAACGTTCTCGTAGATCATTGAAACCAGAGGTGCCAAACATACGGCCCGTGGGCCAAAACTGGTCCACTGGGGGGTTCAAACTGGCCCACTTGATGAATTTTGAAAGCGAGAAAATGCAGAAAAAATTCTGTCTGTGATGTTGTGTCAAATTATGTTACAATAAATAATATGTTATAATAAATTTGATAACCGCAAGATACAAGCATAATCCGTTCCAGGACCGAGGTCGTAACTCGTGGTGCTTGTATCTCGAAACATTTTTACCCATAAGAAATAACAGAAAAAAAAATGAATCCATTCCGGCCCTCTAAAAAACTCCCTTATTAGTGCTAATAACAATGGAAAAAACACACACAAAAATTATAGTATACAAGGATCCCTGTGATATAAAATCCTTACCACCCACTCTCTGAGGACTCATCACTATTATGAAGAATAATGCACAAAATAGAGAGAAAATCACGTGGATAACGCAAACACGATACGGAAGACTCACGGGAGATGCGTACGGAAGTCAACGAACACGTGAAGTGAACGAGTGCAGCGGCGTGGGCTGCTCCGAGTACTCGGCCACCTAGCGTCGGTGTCTTTAAGCGTCGTCGTATCTCAAGTCTTTACTCGTATCTCAAAGCAAACATTTGTTCGAAGGCTTGCTCGTATCTCGGAATACTCGTATGTCGGGATGCTAGTATCTCGAGGTTGACCACTTGACATTTAAATGTGCTGAATGTGGCCCGTGACTTTGACACTCCTGCTTTAAACTACTCACTGCACAGTGCTAACTGGAGAGCTAACAAGAGAGTTTGTAGAAGCACTAAGGAGGTGGCGGTAAACAACACCACAGCATCAAATCTGTTCTAGTCCAAATCTGTTCCAGACAGACAGATGTGACTCAAAACTATTTAAATTCTACTCTTTCGTATAACATCCTGTTGCCTTCCAAACAGCATGACATTGTTGCCTTTTTAAAATTGCAATCTGAAAAAACTTTTTCTTCATCAGACTGTTGGCCATTTACCTATTTTATCTCTTAGACTTTTAATCTGTTTGGAAGGTTTTTGTAATCAGTGAAGTGGAATCATCTTTTTTTTTTTAAACCTCCATGTCAACATATCACACCTGGTTTACAGCAGCACCGCTTCAACACAGCAGCTTCAATCTCGGAAGCTAAACACACACACACACACACACACACACCAAACAAAATGTCCTGTGTTTATGCGTGCTGGGGGTCGGAGGTCGGGGGTGGGTTGCCCACTCAGAGGTTAGCTTCAGCTCTGGCCCTTCATCCATTAGCCACCTTTAACTCATGCTTCAACAACTGACCCCACATTAAGAAAAGAGAAAAAAAAAACGACATTTCACCCTAGATGCAAAGTGGACGAGACACAGAGAGAGAGAGTGACGAGAAATTAGACTAACAAATGTAAAATAACATTTTCCCCAGAGCAGATTTGTGTGTGAAAGCACGTGTGAGTGCTGCAGAAGTGGACAGCCATGAAAAAAATAAAAATAAAAAAATATATATATATATAAAAAATGAAAAGGCACATGTTCTGAATAAGCTTTTAAAACTGCACCTGCCTCCCCGATACACACATTAGTGCTTCTCAAGTGGCTTAAAAAGCTGCAGGTCTCACAGTTTGTGGGATGAAGAGACACATTTTTCTCTCAGCTCTGAAATGACTCCGCGCCACTTCCATCATTTCCTCTCAGTCACATCGAAACACTGGATTCAAAAGTCTCTCCAAAAAAGGTATTGTTAAGCTTTTAAACTAAACCACAGGATCACGCCGTTTGAGCTTTTGAAAACATCTACAGCCAACATCTACGGCTAAAAACGGAGAGTTCAGGAGGCGCTTCACCGAGGAACCGACAGTCTGTTTGTTCAGGGAACAGATCTGAAGAGTTCTGTTTTCCTAATTAAGTCCTACTGTGTGTCAACTTCAGCTGACTTCCTCCAACAGATCCCATTAAGAAAATACATTGTGGTGTGTTGTTAAAGTATCAGTTTAAATGGTTTATTTTATGACATCCGTATGTCAGGTCTTCTCTTCAGCTTCACCTAAGTGTGGGTTAAACTATGGTGAGGTCCCTAAAAAGGCTCAAAACATCCGTACCCAACGGACATGTCACGAAATACGACAAAAATCTGCCACAGTATCTGTATTTACAGATGCTGACTTAACTATAATCCAAAACCAAGCAATGTTTTTCTGCCTTAAAGTACACATTGAAGCAGTTATTGTTCATGTTCCAGTACCTGTAGAACCAATGGCATCCAATCCCAGATTTTAATCCAGGAAAAAAAAGAGTTCAGTTGTTGACCAGTCAGGGTTAAAGCCACGAGAAGTTCAGGTGAGAAATTCCAATAACCATTATTTTAATTCCATCTACTAAAAAAAAAAACTGTTCGTAAAAAGACCCGTCTTTGAGCGTCTCCGTTTCACAGCCGGACCTCAGTCCTTCAGTTGAGACTCACCTTCTGCAGCAGCTGTGATCCAGAATACTTTGCGGAGATGGATTTCATTTCTCCACCGAACGCCGACGCCCACAGCTTCACCCTGAGGATCACACACAGCAGGACATCAATAGGTACATTTAAAAATTAATTAATTAATTAGAAAAATAACGGCTTTTGAAACAGACATGTTTTAAATGAGCTAAATTGGGCAGTTAGCGCTCCTGCCTTACAGCAACAACATTCCCACGGTTTAAAATGGATTCCAGCAGCAAGTGTGGAAAAAGAGGAAGCAGAACACCAGGCTGGAGGTAATAAGGAAATATCTACGTGAGCAGTGATCGGTGAGCCAACAACAATGTGGTGTTTCATTTAAAAAAAATCATTTGAAATTAAAACAAATGATGACTTTGAAAAAAAAAACACAAATTACTACTGTACTGAATTTCTCTTGGTTTTCCAAAACTGTGGCAGTGTGTTTCCTTTTGTGGACTTCTGAATAATCTCAGACAGTGATAAAGCCTAGGGGCCACCTGGTGGCAGAAATGGTCAATCCATACGTGTGATCTGCGTTGTGTGCCTGGGTTTTCTCTATACACCCCAAACCATGCAAAATGGCGATCATACAAGCGCACAGATTGCAATTTTCGGGCCAATTTCTGAATTCTGACTTACCGATAACGATTTTTGATAATTACGATTTTTTTTTTCCAATGGAAATCATTCGTAAATAATAAAAATAAAAAAAATCAATCACAACTGTCTGCAAATTGCACTCACTGTTTAGTTGAACAACTTTTAAAATTAATACGTTTTTACTTTTTATTTATTTAAAATATAAAATAAACAACTATCTTTGTATGTCAAAGAGATAATAGCGTGCAATACTCTATTATACTATTAAAGAAAATTTAAAAATTTTGATTTTTTTTTTTTCATTTTGAGTGTCCAGGCCTCAAGGTCTGTCCAGAAAAAATTCTGAACCTTCGACAAATATAGATGGTGACTTGGTGTAGGAAGTTGAGGTGGTAGATGACGAAAGAACGTAAACATCTGACCTGATTCCTATATTATTACCCATATTAAATAAAACATATGTGGACGTATGTGTGTGAAAATAACATTTTCACACACATACGTCCACACACAAATGAAGTCAAAATTCCTACAAAGGTTAAAGGATTGCTACCAATAAAAACACAAAAGAAAAAAACAGCCAACGATGTCAGTCGGCTCAAAATAATGTCGACAGGATGCTGAGGATGGCTGGAGACAAAGACAAAAGAAAAGTAGCAAAATAAATCTAAACAAAGGTAACCCTTCCACAATAACCACTTAATCATTTACTCTGTGTGATAATACTGAGGTTAAAGCTAGAGCTGGTCAACAAGAGGGGACAGTTAAAGTTAAAGAGATTCCAAAAGTTAACCAGAAATGGTAGCAAAAACTAAACCAAAATAAATACAATTAGCCAAAACAACTGTAACCATGACAAATGTACTGATTCCACCTCATGATTATTACCTAGATACACCACAGAATAAAATGTGAAATTATTGAAAAAAAAAAAAAAAAACATCCTTACACAGCTGGAGGGATGCTGCTCTGGTGGGTGGTCTCCACCTCAGTGATCCGGGAAGTCAGAGTTGAGAGGAGTACAAACAGACACGCGCTGGAAACACCGCAGCTGGGATGTCTCTGCATCTTGGGTGAAATTCTTCCACAGGAAGAGTGTTTTTGTATTCTCCCCACTGATGGTGAGTTTGTCCTGCTCCTCCACACCGAGAACTGAGAAATGAAAAGAGGATAAAGAAAGAGGTGGCGTGGGTTAAAAGTCACATATGTCGCCTGCTGGAGGAGCTCATCCTCTGTTCTTGACTGGGATTCGCTGGCTACTGGATGCTGGTTTGAGATCCGGCGGCTGCTGCTGCTGCTGCTGCTGCTGCTGCTGCGTATCCTGGTGAGCTCCGCTCCTGCGACAGCAGAAAAAGTCAAGTCCCGTCTTTCTCTGTCAGCCTCAGCAGCTCTGGCTGATGATCTACAGACTCCACTCTCAGAGTGAGAGTGAGGATCAGGGAGGGAAAAGCATCAGATGATGCAGCGCAGGAAAGATCACGCCTCCCTCTACCTCTACCTCTCTGTTTCTCTCTGTGTCTCTCTCCCTCACACACACACACACACACGCGCGCAGACAAAGACACACTTACACACACACACACAGACAAAGACACACTCCCCCTGCTCCTTGCTCTGTGAATCTGAGCAGCGTATTTTCAACATGCTGTTATTGTAGCAGAATTACAGCCAGAGGCGTGTACAGACATTTCAGGGGTCAGTTGATTGGCGGGAACGCCTCGTCTCATGAATATTAATTAACTATCAGTTATATTGATAAGACTGCCGTTAATAGAACAAAGCTAATCCAGTAAGATTTTTTTTAACAAATATTGATCTTACTGTAATAAATGATTTTTAAAGCAAGAATCTTAGAGATTACATTATTCTAAATCTACTATAATTGGGATTTTATTCAATATTACAGACCAAAATAAAAGAAATTGACAGTGTCCAATTTGAATCTCTTAGCATTTCCATCTTAAATGGACTTTTGCTAGCTCTAATCACTAAGTGTTTCCGCTATTTGGAGGCTTTTTATTTCATTTGTTTAGCTGTTTTTGATCTGTTTCTAATCCACTATTTGTTTATGAATGAATCAATCAATCATCTATTCATTTATCGTCCACTATTTAACCCTTCCCCAGGTCGATCTGGAGCCATTCACACTCACATTTAAGTCTATGGTCAGTGAAGGGTGTCCTGATATTTTTTGACGGTCACTGGAAAACACCTCCACAACAGGGAGAAGATGCAAACTTTACACCGAAAGACCATCGAAGCCAGTTCTCTAACCAGTGTCTAAGTTCTGTCTCTGTAAAATATATAATGAACTTCCTGTCATTGTGACACAGCACACCACTGGTCACACAACAAAATGTGACCTCTGCTTAAAATCCCTGTGGAGCTGAACCTGAAACCGTCAGCACCCAAGTCTGCTTCCTCCATGACTAAACCAGCACTGCTGTACAGCGATGGCTGTCGTCCATGTTGGTAAAGCAGAATGTAAGAGGCTCAGTGATGTGTCTCTAATCTGGTCAGAGGTCGAACAGGTGAGGGTATTTCAGCACCACCTATGGGTGTAAGTGTGCACCTCGACTCTGTAGGACTGAATAATCCAGACCTGACTCTTTTTTTTCTTTCTCCTGGACTCTGATACAGGTCTTTGAAAAGTAGCCTTGAGCTTTCATGTCGGATCAAATCATTCAGTGTTACATCCAGTTCACTGAAGCAGGGCTTAGTGCTGACTAATGACAGCGAAGAGGGGAGGAGTGTGTGTGTGTGTGTGTGTAAAAAGACACAATGAAGGTGAAGAGGAGGAGGCCGTTTGAAAGAAGAAGTTGGTACGCCATGAATAAAAGCACGTCAGAGTGAACGCCTCCTCCCACCGTCTTCATGCGTGTGTGGGCATATGGCTTGTAAAAAGGGATGAAGACCCTGAGGCGGCCTGCAGCCGACCCCATGTGACAGATCATGTTTCACAGACGGATTCTGGCAGAGAGAGGAGGACGAGTGGCGAAGAAACCCAGCTGCACTGGAACCTGGATGTTTTAACAGTCTATTGGTGCATTATATAGCAATTTAGTGATTAAAAAAATAAATAAATAAAAAGTAATTGGACTATGAAATAATTGTAAAAATAATATTTACAAATTATCGTACAAACCTTAAGTCTTTACGTCAAAGGAAAGAAGTGAAGAAATAGTAATGTGAGAGAAACAACATTAAATAACAGCTGCTGTTGTTGCCGCTAATCGGGAAATATGAAGTTTTGCTAATCTGCTAACTTTTATATTAGGAGCTGTTAGCCAATAGCGTTTACATTTGATCATTATAGTAGATTCAGAGAAAAAACTGCCAAATTTGGCTTTATCTAGGTGTAAATTTTGCAACGGTTGCTTACCTCATAACTTGGGAAACCCGTATTTCGGGGAGCTCGTATCTTGAAGCCCCACTGTATGCTGAAAAAAGCCAGTCTCAAAGTGTATCCACAGCAGAATAGTTGTTGAGACTAATATTTTTCAATATCCATTTTACACTCAAACACTTCACATCTTTTCTTTTTGACGTCATTCAGAGCATGACAGAGAAGAGAGGAATTTACAGTCAAGGTCCAAATCGTCATCACCACCGTTAGCATTTCCTGAGGTCACAAAGATTTCAAAACCAAAAACTTTCTTTATTCTAAAACACCTGCGAAAACACAAATAAAACCAAAACATCAGTTGTGCTGCTGATTCTATTTACAAGGCTAAAAATCTCTCCTGAGAGCAGAGTGTTGTGAATATAAAAAAGAGGAGCAAGGACAGTTGGCTTTAAAGAACCATACTGAGTAAACGGAAGGTAGAAAACAAACAAACAAACAAACATTAAATGTTCAGGATATATGAGAGAGTTTCTAGATTCAGGTTTTGTGAAGAGTGACCTTAACAGGAACTGTTAGAACAACTGTTTGTGGCCTCCAGATATACATTTCCTGCTTTCTTTTTTAACTATACTGACATGCCATGCAAATATAATATAATAATTATTAATATAATAATTACCTAACAATTGAATACACCTTCCACTAGCTGTCAGATGATGGCAATAATAACCAAAGGAAGAGAGACACTCCGAGCTGTTGTGCTTTTCTTCAATTTCTGCGAGTACATCAGGGTTGTGTTCAACTAAACAGGCCCAGGTGTTACACTGAGTGAGAAAATTGTAAGGATATTGAGACAAAAAGATCATTATATGTCATTTCATATGGAAAAACAACTTTTGTAATGCAACTTGTACGATAACTGTCTCAATAAATGTCCACTGTGCATTGTTTTAAGACAAAAGTAATCGATTGAAAACTGAGTTTTTGTTTGTGTAAAAAATCAGCTCTCCAAGAAATTGGCACAAAAAATAAAAACGTTTGCTGCCAATTCTTTTTCGTAAAATATGTTTTGCCTGCAGGTAACTTGAAAAGCAGCCACCAAGATTGCCACAGCTTTATATGAGAAAAATCACTATTTATGTCAAGTCACCCTGGTGTGAGAATGTCGTCTTTACAATGAAATAACTTTAGTGAATGATAATGTTGTCCATCTGTAAGGTAAAGTTACATATATCTTATGTGATGTGAACCTTTTGTTCAATGTGTGAGATCTGCCCGTCTTTCACGTGGCTCCTTCAATACTACAGTCACTGATGTGTAACACACCGATTGATTCAGAGTTAATGAAGTGAGTTATAGTACTTTTCCATTTGCATTTCATTACAGAAATGCTTTATAAAAACACCTCCACACACAGACGCAGACACACACATCAGTACCGGCAGCAAACACAATCCAATCCATGCTCGTCAAGGCCAGAAGAAATCATTCAGAAGTGCGATACAACTTGGCCTTCATGTTCAACTAAAGTAAACAAAAGTTTGAGTCACTTATTTACCCAGAAGTCTCGTTTAACGTTATACATTAAAGCAGCGGTATCAGGCAGGGGACCTGTTGTAACTGTAAGACTGTATAGCTGTAGCTACTCCATAACATATTCATACATGTTTCTGCAATTGACTCCTATTTATATCAAGCCAATAAAAATACCAATATTGTACATTGTTCTGTGCAACAACAAAAAAAATATTATTTATCAAGTTAAGAATCTCAGCGACATGGACTTGATTGTAAGGCAATTAAACACAATTTTTAAAGCTCCCACGGGCCACACTAAATGACTCGGCGGGCCACATTTGGACTGCAAGCCTTGAGTTTAACACATGTGCCTTAAAATAAAAAAGTAAAAATTCTTCTAATGTCTTATTATTCTTTACTACAGCAGTCCAAATTCAAACATCAAACATACTCTACGTGTAAATGTCTGTAATCAACCAGTCACTGAAAAGCAATACTGTTTCATTAATGTTTTTGTCAGCTTTCACACTGAACTGAAGGATTATAAATAATCACTCTATTGAAAATAATAATCCTCTTTCCTCTCATTCAGCAAAATAAAACAGGCTTTTTGGAAGGAAGGGTAGTAAGTGTTCCGTTTTCAATTCCCTGTTTTGTTCAATTCGTAGAAACCAACAATAGTTGAAGGTATTTTTGATGATGGAGTCGTTTTGAAGAGTTTAACTACAAACAGTATTCAACACAGGAGGAGTATTCAACAAATTACAATTACAGAAAAGAATAAAGACGTTCCTACTTCTTACCTCATACTGTGTTATAGGGCCTCTTAACGTAAAGGCAGGGTGGGCTAGCTGCTAGCTTCATACACCGTATGTAAAAGCAAACACCTGGCGTTTCTGCACAGTGTCCCTCGATAGTTTCAACCAACACTCTGGTTTACATACAGGGTCATGGACTTACTGTACATCGAACCTACAATGTAACTCATTTTTTGCTGTAAGTCGGAACTCGTGTTCTGTACAAAAGTACCTGTCTCTCTCAGCTACGCTAACACAGTGCTAACATCATAAGCTAGGACATAACAACGTCAGAAGAGTCTGACTTACACCTGGGAGCCATAATGAAGGGCAAAAAGTTCCCCAAAACAAACAAACAAAAAAAAAAACGCACGAAAGAAAGCGAATGTAGTACAGTCCAATATATGGTGTACAACAAGTGAATGTAAACATCGCTGTACGCTGCCATCTATAGCACCACACTACAATCGTCCATTCAACTCACTAGTTCC